TCATGAAGGATAGCTTTAAGCAGTAGGGGTTATACTGGGTCATATAGGCTTTTCTACTGATAATGGAAAATAAAATGGAAACCACTATAATGGGAGTCTAGCCAGCATGAACTTTGCAGCGAAAGCGATGCCCATGCAGCTCAGGAAGCGCACGGTCTTGGTTACAGACACCTCCGAGTTTGAGGTTCGATGGTCCCCCTTAAGTAGATAGAATATGGTGTCTATAGGGTTTAGGGTTTAGGGTTATAGTCCCCATTAAGTAGATAGAATTACAAGAAATTTGGTTCTTTGTTTCAAGAGCAGCCTTGGATTCGGAACATGTTGCTTGCTAGCCTTGTGGAGCAGTTTTGAATTGAAGTAATAATACTAGTAGTAATAATACTCGTGATGAGAGAGGTATCGGCTGCCAGAAGTGTCAAGCGTGACTGCTCCCTTCTCCCACAAAGTTGACCATAGGAAATCCGGTTTCTGATCCAGCTATCAAAGTTTCGGGGCTTTCTGAAGATGCGTATAGGGTTCTTGGGAAAAGATCAGAATAAAGGTACAGAATCAGACGCAAAAGAAGCTGGAAAATAAAATGGACACTTGGGCTATATATGGACATAATCACAGGAATAGGAATAGGTTGGGAAATGAACTGGCTATTAGTACTTCAGGTATAGAGTTTGGCTATAACCGTGCATATCCCTATTTACCCTTACATAAACCCTACGAGTAGGTCTCCTTTTTAAAGGGATATGTAGAGTTTAGGGACGCTGCTTATGGGACATGTAACGGGCTTAGGGTTTAGTGTCGAGGTGCAAGCCTTTGTGGCTTGAATCGAGATTTTTTGGTGAGTGTGTATAGGGTTTCTGAAGAATGGTCAGTTTATGTGTTGCGTGCAGAAGGAACAACCTGGGGTCATTCTGCATTCTGGGGTCATTTGTGTCGTTGTGTATCTAGGCTGTAAATAGGTAAACCATGCTTGATACTTCACTCTGCTTTCGTCGGCGTTGCGTCGTCTGTAGAGAAGCCATCCTGAGATGTGTCAGCCCCCAGCCCACCCCCCCCCCCCTCCCTCGGCATCCCTTCCATGTCGCGATTTTGGGTCTGTTTCCTTCCATGTGAGCCAATGTCTAAAGAATATATTGGGGACTACTCTATGGATTATCAAGTCGGATGCTAGGAGTTTTGACTATGTTCATGTTTCTTTGACGGGAGGTGGAAAGCGCCCCCAGCATTACTCCCCTTTCTTTGGGGTGTGGACAACGCCTGGCTTTCATCTTGGTGAGTGGTGCAACGAGCCCTCGCACACCCGCACACCATATGCGCTTGGCCAAGATAATGTTGCATGCCCTCAAGATCTCCACTCCATGATCCCTGTAAACCCCTATGAAAACACAGTTTCCATTTTATTTTCCACTGTTGTTTAAAGTGTATTTTCCAGTTTCGTTTCCATGTTTCACAATGATCGTTCGCTTCTGCTCCAAGAGTTGAGCGAACGTCAAGCATCTACAAAGTCTACTTCTGCTTGTATCCTGCATGCCACCACTTCTCTTCCATCCTGCACCCCGAAATAGCGTGGCGTCATTCGCGTTCAAGGTGTCTTGAGTTGCAGAGCACCTTTGTCAGCCGCTGTCCATCTACCATCATGTCTCCCGAAAACTTTGCTCCCATACATCTTGATGCTTAATGCTAGTCGCTTAGTCTGAGGAACTAGGCATGCCTATGCCAATTTCATCCCATTTCCGGTTGAGTAGAGGCAGTCAAGCCCACACTGCTCCCAGCCTTGCTCAAATGCTTGGAGGTGTCAGCAAACGCATGGCTGTCAGGCTAAGCGAAGGTACCTGGGAGTTTAGTGCAACCGTACAGCGGGCAAGGTCCGAGAAGAAAGAACATTTCTTTTTCTTTTTTCTCCACGGTAGTGCACGCGCGCGCGTGTGCACGGTCGTTTATTTGTTGTGTGTCAGCATCATAAACTATCATAAGCGTTCGAGTGAAGGTTTAATTCACAGCTTCCACAGTTCCCAGTTCCGTTGCAGCCTGAAGCTGCTCAGGGCAGTGATGCAAACCTGACCCCGCTGCCGGCTGTCCTACAACCCTGAAATAAAGAAAGCTTTTCAACAGGAGGAGATCCTAAAGTGATAAAATCAGGCAAGAAACGTCCCAAATGGAATCCTGCATCCGTCTCTTGACTGCCAGGTGAGGACGAGGATTTGCGTCAATCTGCGTGTCATTCGAGAGGCTAGCTTGTTTCAAAATGCTCTGCTATTTACCACAAGACACGAAAGATGCAGGTCTGTGTAGATCAGCCTTTTTCATGGGTCCCCCCGACTACCCCCCTACACTAATCCCCCATGGTTACCCCTCGAATCCCCTCGATTAGGGTTATTCAGGGGGTTCCATGAAATATAGTAGTTTCCATTTTCTTTTCCATTATCCCCAATATAACCCCAATATAACCCCAATATTACCCCAAAATAATCCCCAATATTACCCCAATATTATCCCTATATGACTTTCTGGTCTAGGCAAGCAACATTCTCGTCACCCTCCAGGAGGGCTCTGAGGAGGTGTGGCTGCAATGCGGGTCTGCCCGAAAAAAATACTTGCAGTTTATTACCCCAATAATGGAGAATCAAATGGAAAAGAAAATGGAAAATGAAATGGAAACTGGGATTATATAGGGGTTATATAGGGACTATATTCTATATTAAGGGTTCCGGGTTTAATGGTTTAATGGTTTGGGGTTTCATGAAGGGTTTAGGGTCTGCCGCTTGAAGGCTTGGAGAAACGTAAAACGATCCTTCGACGAGGACCGGTGTTGTCGAAGCTGTTTCTGCTATACATTGGAGATAACATCGCTATGTATCGCCATATATAGATACCTTTTCATTGAAGGGAGTATCCTAGATACTCCTACCAATCTTGTAACCCTGATTAAAATCTAACCCCGATACCCTGTATCATCACCATGTAACCCTAGTTTCCATTTCGCCTAGTCTCTGCGCTTCAGGCCGCTTGCAGCACACCGTGTCGATAGTTGAGTTTAAGCCGGCATAATGGGAAAGACAAATTCACGCCACTGTGGGGTTAAGGGTTTGGGTTTCAGGGTTGATAGGGTGTAGGATTTGGGGGTATCAGCCCCCAAATATTAGTGGAGAATCAAATGGAAAAGAACATCGAACATGAAATGGAAACTGGGAATATACAGTAGTTTACAGAGTTTCCCAACCCTAAACCCTCAACCCTAGGCCCTAAACCCTAAACCCTAAACCCTAAGCCCTAAGCCCTAAACCCTAAACCCTAAACCGAGTCACTGCTCTTCGCTGTGCCTTGAGGAGCGCTTTGGCGAGAAGCGATTCGCGAAACGAGCCAAGGTGGGTCCGCTCCCGGCTCTGTCAAAGCGTTATAAGGGTTTAGGGGTTTAGGGTTTAGGGTTTTAGGGTTAAGGGTTTAGGGTTGAGGGTTTAGGGCCTCAAAGATCTTCAGTTTTAGGGTTTCATATAAAGAATTATACTATAGGGTCCTAAGCTGAAGGTCTCTTGGGTCTAAGTATATCTTGGGATATAGTGGAAAAGAACATGGAAACTACTATATCAAGATATGGGTGCTTTTTTGGGGTTGCTATGACAGAGATCATCGTATTTTTGGGTCTATATTGGGTAAGGATATTACCTTAGACCCCAAGACCTTGGGATTTAGAATTCCATGGAAAGAATTATACTATAGGGTCCTAAAACTTACGGTCTTTTGGGTCTGAGGTATATCTCGGGAAAATGGAAAGAATATGGAAATTACGATATTATCATATGGTATATCTTAGGGGTGTCATTATGAGGGGTATATATGGGATGTGTTTTTTTGGGTACTGCCACCATGCTGTAACAGTTGGATGATTCTAGTCATGTGGTTATGTATAGCCCGTAATATGACCTCTAATATAGACAGTTGCAAGGTGGGAGCAGTACCCAATACTATTACTATTATTTCATATGTCTATTACTATGCCATGAAATGTAGTAATGGATTACTACATCAGACAGAACTTTTTATCATTATGTGGTTATCTCATTTTCTTCATACCTTATGCTGATATTGTACCACTATATCAATATTTCACGATATGGTTCTGTTCTTGTTTTGATACATTATTATGTTCTGTACTACCAGGAAATGTGATATTTTTCCTAGACATTTTCCATATGCAGTAATCCTTATATTGCCCTATTTATCCTTATATAACCCCTACATGCCCCTAATTTTGGGAAACCTCCATGTCCTAGTCTTCGGGCTTAGGCGACTGTTTCCCAAAATGGGGGAGCCCCAAAATAGACTCCAACATGCTGTAATGCTTATCATACGGACCCCCGCAAGCGTACCCCTATTTTTGGGAAACCCTAAACCCTAAACTCTATTCCCTAAACCCTACACCCTACATATTCCTATATAGAACCCCTATATCACCCCTTCAATTAAAGGTACCCCCCAATTTTGGGAAACCCTAAACCCTAAACCCTACACCGCAGGTGGTAGAGCCAACCGGTGTGGTTGTCTCCACTGATGGTTTCCTCATGGTCCATGCAAAAGGCAGGGAATTCTCAAAACTGGTTTAGGGCTCAGGGTACTCCTATTTCACCCGAATATACCCTCATAAATCCCCTACATAATCCCTACAACCCTTTCAAAGGGACCACCTTGGGGCTTCTCAGCCTGAACCCTGAACCCTGAACCCGGTGGCTTGTCATGAAATGACTTTGTCCAGGCCGCAAGCCCAAACCAGCTCCAAAGCCGCCAGATTCTCCCCTGCACTATGTTTTGAGGTGCCGAGCTCAAATTTAGGTGATAGGGGTTCAGGGTTTAGGGTTCAGGGTTCAGGGTTTAGGGATAGGGGTTCAGGGTTTAGGCTCACTTCTTCAGAGGATGTTTTTTTTCTTGGGCTAGCAGGTACAGCAACATTTCTGCGATGCAGTGCCACGCCTGGATTATTCTCGGAGGCATCATGCAGGATCTGTCGTATCGGGTGTTGCTTCGCAGGTTGGCTGTGGACAAGGAGAACCACTACTCCTTTGCATCTTGTCAGAATTGGGGCAATGTTGCACTGTCTGGAAGTTGTCCCTATGTGATCCTTGAGTGGGCCTTCCGCAAGCCTTATGGAAGCCCTACCTAGGCCCTAAACCTCCCTTTGGGCCCCTACTACCCTAAGCCCAGAGCCCTAAGCCCTAAACCCCTGAACCCTAAGCCCTTAAACCTGAACCCTAAACCCTTTTGAGACGCCCGCAATGTCTTGAAGGATCCAGTCAGGGGCATGCCTGAGCCATGTTGAACAACGGCTTGCAATGTGTAGGGTTTGGGGGTTTCTTTACGGTTTGGGGTTTAGGGTTTAGGGGTTTAGGGTTTGGGGAGTTCTATAGCGTTATAAATATGGGGAGTATGAATAAATACATAATTCCTATAGGGTTATACAGGGATATATAATTCCAATGATGGAGGATGAAATGGAACAGAAATTGCAAAATCAAATGGAAACTGTGTTCGCATAGTGCTTTATTGCAGGTGGTCATGGGAGCGGCAGGTGACCTGGCGAAGAAAAAGACACCTGGCAGCAAAGTGCAAGAGTGATTGGCACTCCAAAAGCTACTGCTGCATAAGCCCATGTCAGGACCTTCCCATCACTATTTCAGCTGCATTTGGGGCATCGCGCTCAGCTACCGATTGTGTCCTCCGGCATCTCTTTTGCCGATCATCCCTTTCTGAAGGCGACTCCTTCCAGGCAACATGAAGATTGTTGGCGTGGATGATCCCAAGTTTCACAAGGAAGATGACAGAATCTTTCAACCTGAAAGCTCCTTCCCCCAGCTTCAGGATGTGACCAACGTGAAAGACTTTTGGGAGAAGCGCTTGCAGGAGCACCTGGAGAAACAGAGAGGATGGGTCACAGAGGCAATGCAGCTGCCCGTCTGCCGATGAGATGTGTGACGTTATCTCAGTGTCGATGGCATACAGAAAATGCTAAACTTTCCTGTCATTTTTTTAGTTAGTATTGTTGTTATTCGTATTGGTGTAATTATTCTTCTTGTTGTTAGTATTATTGTTATTATCATTGTCGCTATTCTTGTTATTGTGATCATTCTTGTGCTATCATTATTTGTTATTCATATTTCATTGTGTTTTTGCGCTTCTTATTATTGTATTTTTTCATTTTCATGATCAACTATTCGTATTCTTATTAGTAGTATTACAACCTGTTATGACAGGATGTCGAAAGCTTCAAAAGCCGTTTGCATTTCATCCACGTGCAGCTGGACCAGCGAAGCCCTCAGCTCTGCGCACATGATTCAAAGCCTTTCTTAATTACTTAACTGTTATTAATACTATCGACAGTTAGTGTTTGTTGTCGTTATTATTGTTTTTTTATAATTACTGCTGCTATTCTTATTGTTGTTATGCATCTCTGTCAGGCCAGAAACAATGAAGGCTTTAGACAGGCTGCGCTGGCGCTGAGTCAAGTGAAGAGCGCGTCTTAAGTTCCGATCCGATGCCAGGCGCTTGAGAGAGCTGGCTGAGGGTCGAAAGAAAGAGCATCGTGTCTTCTATTTGGTCAGCATCCCAGCCGAGGAAAACCTGTTACTTGCAGGTCATGAATAGTGTGTAGTATATTATGTTATAATATATTTTAGTCTATTACAGTATATTATAATATATCAGAGTATATTATAGCATATTATAGTAAATTATAGTATATTACAGTACCTTATAGTATGATACATAGTGTATTTTGATATACTATAATATACTATAATATACAATAATATATTTTAGTCTTGTATATTATGGGGTTCAGTGTAGATTTAGGCAACGTGAAGAGGCCTTGCCACCTTTCCTGTTCGCACAAGCTGTGGAACACCTGCGTGAGCGCTAGAGGCTGAGAGTTAGCTGGAAATTTTCACAGCGTTCATCTCAATGGTAAAATATTTGCAGTAAGATAATAGCAACGATAACCATAGCACACAACAGTTGATAATTTCAGTACTAACGAGCAATAATAAGATAAGTATCAATAGTATTAATTATAATAAGAAAGTCCATTAGGATTTTACCCTAAACGCCTCAACCCTAAACCCCTAAACCTTAAGCCTTAAAGGTTTTTGAGCTCCTCCAAGGATGTTGGTCAGAGAGTGGATGGAATCGCGTGGTGGTCGAGAAGCCCTTCGGTAAGAACGGCAGCCGGGCATGATGATGGTGCTTAGGCTTGAGAGTTAGGGTTTAGGGTTGAAGGTTTTGGGTTTAGGTCATGATCTTGCTTCAGCTTGAGGCCCAGAATCTAGTCCTTTTTTTGGGTAGCATGTCAAAAAACATCAGCAATTCCAAAAGGAACTACATAGGAGTTCTCTGGTAAAGCCACAAAAAGAAGTGCTACCTAAGAAGTGCCTCACACTTGTGGCTTCTCCTCCAAACCCTAAACCCTAAACCACCCCCGCCCAACCCTGAACCCTGAACCACAAAGGCCCCCAGGTTGCCACGGGTTAACCCACAATCATTCCCACAGACCCCTCTATAACCCCAGCTTCCATTCCATTGACCATTCTCTTTTCCATTTCGATTCTCCCTGAAACCAAAATCCTGGGAGTTAAGTAAGCGATAAAACACAACTGCATGAAGACAGGCACAGAAGCGGCTGCGCTGTCCAACAGCTCCTTGCCGAGCCTTGTTCTTGCGGATTGTTTGTAGCTAAGTGCTCAGGGATTATTGCGGGTTATGCAGGGACTATATGGGATTATGCAGGAATGATACAGGGATTATACAGGGGATTGTTGGAATGGGGGCCTGGTGGTTTGTAAGGTATTGGGCGTCTGAGGCATGGGGCTTAGGATTCATGTGCTGGTTGTTAAGGAATGGACAAGAAGATGGGCACTACCATTTTACTGGGGAGTCTTATAGCGACTACTGTAGGCCAGTCCTCCATTTCTTACTAATGACCAAATTAATAAACATTGTTGAGATTGAAATGCTTCGTTGGGCATTGACTTCTCTGGCTTCTGCGAATATCTGTGGCCCTGATATGCTCAGATAGGCTCACGGCCTACGGACACGCTGGAGGTAGAAGTTACGAGAGGCTTCATTAGCAAACATTTACATGATCAACAAAAACCCATGATGCACACCGCTGCTGCTTTCTTGCTTATGTCTTACGCTTGCATGTTGCCAAGAGACTTGTGACGCAAGTCCAAAAACGAGCGGCCCAGAAGAATGCAACACCACGTTGATGAGGGAGCGCTTTTTGCTGCTCTTGCAAAGCACCCACGCCATACAGCAGGTGTGGGCAGCCATCCACTCCCGGACAGGTGCCGAGTGGAAGAGCTGTTTGATTGGGCTGCCGTTGCATCAGAGCTTGGGCAGCTTGGTTCCAAAGACGTGGTTGACGCAACCTTTGGACCTGTTAGCAAGAAGGGAGGCAGGCCTGGGCTTCTGCAAACAAGAGTCCTTCGCAACGGAAGGGCAGCCCTACAAGATCCAGCAATTAGGTCTAGGCTCGGTGTCCTTGTCATTCCGGATTTTGTGCGAGAAGATGAGGAGGCACGCATACTCAGAGATCTTCTATGTCAGAGCAACCCGGAGGTTGTCTGGGGGCGGCGCGAGGGAGGGGGCTTTCATGCAAGCTTTGGCCCGACCTTTCTGCCGGAGTCAGGGTACAAAGTCGACAGCAGCAAGCCCTTCACAGCCTTGCCAGCAGCACTTGAGACTGTGAAATCACGTGCGGAGAAGTTGCTTGCATCGCCATCCAAAAACGAAGCAGCATTCGTGAACGAGATGTCCCAAGAGTCGGGTGTGGTCCCCTCTGAGTCATGGCAGGAGGCTCGCCGAGCGCTTGCAGAATGGTCCATGAGCCCTGCAACCCGGGGAGGCAACCAATCCCCCCTTAGCCAAGCTTTTCTTCAGCGTTACGAGAGCCACTGGGTTGCTGTTAAGGATCTTAGATCAAGTTACTATAACATCTATAGCAAGGGATCCCTATAAACGTTAGCTGCAATATACCCATACTATGGTAACTTAATTTGAGTTCCTAAAATCAGTATATTCCCACAGTTTCCATTTCAATTTCCATTTTCTTTTCCGTTTGATTCTCCATTTGGGTAGTAATACGGTAGCTTAATTTAAGTTCCTTGACAGCAACTCAGGGCATCATAGCCATCCCCAGCAGGAAGGTGAGCGGTCGGAAAACACCTCCCAAGCCTTGGGTATGCATTTCGATTCGCGTAGTGCGAATGGAGAGGTGGGGGGTTTCCCAAAGCTAGGCATTAGGGTTTAGGGTTTAGGGTTTAGGGTGTTATATAGCAGATTACAGGGACATTTTACCAATAATGGAGAAGCAAATGGGAAAGAATGGACAATGAAATGGCAGCAGGGACTTTTCAGGGGTTTATAGAGGGTAGGGTTGCCATAGATTAGGGCATCTTTTTTGAAGTCCCTACAGTAAGGATCAAGGCATTTTGGGATGTATTGGGGTCCTCCTAATAATGGAAACTAAGCCCCAAACCCCAAAAATGCCAGGTTGTGGTCGGGCTTAACCTCGGAGAGAGCGGTGGTCATATCTTCTTCTCCCGGTCTGGACCCGGAAAGGGTCAGGCATTTCCCCTCAGTGTCGCGAACAATTTGGAAGACCGAGGTGAGGGCATTCTTGTCAAGCTTCCCCGAAGGCTGGCTGGGTGAAAGAGGGTTTTGGAAGCTCTTGCATATGAGCTAAAACTCCTTGAAGGCGGCTATATAGGGGATTATATGGGGGACGACTATATAGGGATTTTCAAGGGAGATACTAGGGGTTTAGACTATAGTTCATATGCACCAAAAAATAGCAACTCAACCAAGATCTTACTTCTAGTGTGAGGGTTTGCCGGCACCGCAGATATCGCGAAGCTGTCCAAATACTTGATACCACATATACTACAATACCTACTAGAAATGGTTACTAGTATATTTCCATTATTATTACTATATTACTCTCATTATTATCACAACAAACACTCGAAACCTAGCCCTCTAGCTGAAGACCAGCCAGCAAGCAGAAACATTGACGTCTAACCATCAAGGCAGCAACTCTCTCAGATACATTAACCTCTGAAGTGGATCAATCATGGATTCCCTTCCCCACAGCTATGTTAAGATCCATATACTCCATATTCTATTTAAACGAGGGGGGACTACACAAGAAGCCAACTGTGATCTTGCACCACCCTCGCGAAGGTCCCTTTATTTGTTCTACGGCTTCGCCCGCTTTCATCTGCGGCATGGTGTGCCCTGGCAGAACCCTGCCGCACAAGGATCCTACCAAAGGGTCACTGTCACTTTTCGCAGTGTGCCGGAGCCGCGTGGTCAGAAGAGGGTCAAGAAAGCGGCCGAACGACATACAGGCAAGCAACTGCGGTTAGGAGAAGTTCTAGATTCCTTTTGTTTCAGAGGCCCGAAGTCGGATGTCGCGCAGACTGCAGGAGCGCTGAAATTCGACCTACGGCCCGATGTGCAGAAATGCATTGACATCGACTCCGACGACTCCGACAACTCCGACCGTGAACTTGAAGGGCAAGAAAAGCGTCAGTACGCGTCACCTTGCCAGGAGATAAGAGACAACCTGTCAACGAATGCAACCGCAGCATGCAACAATCGTAGATCCTCCCTCGGAATCATGAATGACGCCTCGCCAACGACTCATGGTCTCCCTCCCCCCTGAAGCAGTTTATCACTTGCGCCGCACGTGTTGAAAAGCAGATATTGGGACCAAGATGGTTTCTGTTCAACAAAGAGATGTGCTCGAAAGCAAGCAATCCTTCATTAAATTGGCCTGGAAATCTTTCATTCAATTTCTTATAATGCTCACCTCATGATGAAAAACCCCCCTCCCTCCCACTCTTTCAAGGATGTGCACCTGAGCCTCCGTAATTAAAGGTATCCGGGTCCGTGCGCTGGAGCTACAATAGTAGTACTAGCCAGTAGTACAC